TCACATTTCATGTTGCAAAGCGGGGTGCCAACCTCCTGGGCCTCGACCTCTTCACAGGCTTGGGATTCACACTGAGAGATGACAGTGGGTCAGCTATCTACCAGGTTACCTGCACATGGCAACAGAACTGGCCGACTCTGTTTGATGGACTGGGCTGCCTCACAGCCTTTACTCACAGGCCCCTAGTGAATCCGGAAGTGACCCCAGTCATGCAGCCCCTGCGGCGCATTCCCTTTGCACTGCGTGATGACGTCACAAAAGATCTCCAGTCACAGTTGGATGCAGGCATCATTGAGCCAGTCAACGCTGCCCCCTGGATTTCAAACTTGGTCATTGCAACCAAAAAGTCAGGTGGAATCCGGACCTGTGTGGATCTCCGTGCTGTGAACAAGGCCGTTGTCCCGGATAAGTACCCCTTGCCTACAGCTGAGGAGCTGACCGCACAATTCCATGGCTCCACGATCTTCACGAAGCTTGACCTTCGTCAGGGTTATCTTCAGGTACCCCTCCATGCAGCTAGCAGAGACCTCACGGCCTTTGTCACACATGCTGGCGTGTTCAGATATACACGCATGCCTTTTGGACTTAGCTCCGCACCCAGCTGCTTCCAGAAGGTGATGAGCACCATCCTCGCTGGAATACCTGGGGTGGCGGTCTATCTGGATGACATCGTGGTCCACGGCCCTGACCTCCACATCCATGATTATCGACTCCACAGACTATTCAGTGCTCTACTGCGGAACAACCTGACCCTTAACGGTGGAAAGTGCACCTTTGCAGCTCCAGCCGTCGAGCTTGTGGGCTTCCGCCTGTCGGCCAAAGGCATTGCCCCACTCATGTCGAACATTGAAGCCGTCCACCGGATCCCGGAACCGACCTCAGCCTCTCAGGTGGCCTCATTCTTGGGCATGACAGCTTACTACCTCCGGTTTCTGCCCCACTACTCTCAGACCACAGCGCCCCTTCGCCAGCTCCTCAAGAAGGATGAGCCATGGGCCTGGACGGCAGCCTGCTCAGACGCGGTCCACTCACTGAAGAGCCAGCTCACCACAGCCCCAGTCTTGGCTCACTTTGACCCCGTCTGCCACACCATTGTCACATGTGACGCCTCAGCTGGAGCACTAGGAGCTGTCCTCTCACAGCTGCAGAATGGCATTGAGAGGCCCGTCGCCTTCGCCTCAAGGGCCCTGAGCCCCACAGAACAACGGTACTCTGTGGGCGAACGAGAAGCACTGGCCTGTGTCTGGGCGTGCGAAAGGTGGCACCTCTACCTATATGGCCGTCTGTTCACACTCCGAACCGACCACCAGTCCCTCACAACGCTACTGTCAGCATCAGGAACTGGCCACAAGCCACTTCGGCTGCACAGATGGGCCGACCGCCTCAGACAGTATGACTATCAGCTGAAGTTCACTCCGGGGAGGGATAACGTGGTGGCAGACCTCCTCTCACGCTCCTTTGACGCTCCTACTCCGACCGTCTTGCCAGACGAACAATGCAATGCTATACGCTCCTCTTCAGTCAGTCGTCTCACTGGAGGAGCTGAAGCAAGCATCGGAACAGGATCCCACACTGTCTACCCTGCGCACCTACATACGCACTGGATGGCCAGCACATGTGCCGGAAGAGCTGGCGACTTTCGCCAGAGTGAAGCACGAACTTTCTTGCTGGGAAGAAGTCTGTGTCTCTCGAGGGTTTTGCACTGTGGTCCCGAGTGGCCTGCGTGCGCGTGTTCTATCCATGGCGCACAAGGGTCACTTGGGCATAGTGAAGGTCAAACAGCGATGTCGAGACCTTGTGTGGTGGCCAGGCATCGACCACGACATTGAAGCCCTGGTCAGGGATTGTGCTGCATGCCTCCTCAGTGGGAAAACAGGACAGTCCGCCCCACCCCCCCTGCAGCCTCTCGCATGGCCGTCCCACCCCTGGGAGCACATCCAACTGGACATCTGTGGAGAGATCCATGGACACGCAGTCCCTCACCATCAGCGCTTCCTGGTGGTGGTGTATGACCTCCACTCTAAGTGGCCAGAAGTGGTTCCTGTCGGAACTGTCACAGCACAGGCCATCGTGGACATCCTAGACAGCCTGTTCACAAGGTGGGGCCTACCCCTCACCCTTACCACGGACAATGGGCCCCAGCTAACCTCTGCCGAGTTCTCCTCATATCTCAGCAACAAGGGAATCAAACACATCCGCACGGCCTACTACAACCCACAAGCTAACGGAGGGGTGGAACGCTTCAACCAAACGCTGAAGAACGGCATCAGAGCGCACCTGGTCCAGGGGTGCACGTTCCAAACTGCTTTGAATCAAACGCTAATGCACTACAGAGCAAGCAAACACACAACAACACAGGTCTCCCCGGCATCCCTCATGCTAGGTCGTGAGATGGAACTGCCACTGGACAGACTCAGAACACAGAGAGTAGCAGAACCGGCGACTAGGCGCACCCAATAACAGCAGGCAGTGACCAGGCACCAAAGAGCAATGAAACAGCGTTTTGACAAGGCACACAGGGTGAAGAAGTCGATCATCCAAGTGTCAGACTGGGTCCGAGCCCGACGGCCTCAGCGGTGCAACAAAATGGCCTCATTCTGGTCGGACCCCTTGCAGGTCAGTCGACAACTGGGGCCCGCCACATTCATGATGAGCAATGGATCACGCTGGCACGCCAGCCGCCTCAGAAAAGTCCCTGCCCCTCAAGGAACACGAAGGCACACAAAACAGACATGCAGGCCAGAGACGCCACCGGATGGACCTCCTCCACCACTACCACCTGAGCCCCACCCTCTGTGGGTTCCCCAAGGGCCAGAGCCACAAGCGGTGGCGGTTGAAGAAAGGCCTATGCGGGCACGAACTCGCCCTGCTTATCTGGTGGACTACTTAACCTCTTTTCATTCTTAGGCTCCGTTAGGTGTCTTAGTCAACCTCCAGGTTAATTGACTGAACTGGCTAGTTTGGAGAGTCCATCCGTTTAAGGGTTAATGTTTATTTCTTACAGGTATCACTCTAGGTTCTTGCCCTATGGACATTTTATATATGGTACCAGTCCCTGGTTTTGGAAAGGGGGGGGGAAATGTTATGTATGGTACGACGTGCTGTACGTCGTACTGTACGTTGTTATGGTTTACGACAGTGTGCTGCGTTACGGATGAATGGGTTGTCAGAATGTGTGGCACATGTCATTAAACGACAGAGTGATGTACAATGTGAAACTGTGCAGATGTCCGTTCTTCTACAACTAGGCTAGATATAACAACAACATCAAATGTTGTCTTCAAATTGGCTTTCCAAACAAAGCGTTCCATTACAAAGGGAACCTCTAACTCTGTTTGTGTCCGCAGCATATTGTCTATTTAGCCAGGCAATGCCCACATTATTCTGACATATTTTAGAATGTAAAAATAATGTGAATGCATAATGCCATTGGGTAGGCCGATAAAAAAAAATGCATTATTCTTTAAGTGGTAATGCATACTTTTTTGCATTCATTTTGGGGGGAGTAGGTTTTCTATAGGCTATTACAACAATTAAATATAAAGATCCTTCAAAATTACAATTAAGTACTTGAAAATGTAATTGAAAGTCCTTGAATGTGACTTGGCAATGTCTGTATGAACCATGTATAGGCTACATCTTGAAAATCAGTTTTCAAGAACCGAATAAAAAAGTTCAATGTGTTTACATCGCATTTTCAACTCTACCGATATTTTTCTCACTAAAACTGTTGAGGCAAATAGCAAATGTGCCGACTCTAGTCTTGGCACGCGTGCTCTAGCCAACAGCTAGCAGATACAGTGCAGGTAGGATAGTCTACAATACATGATGAGATAATTAAGAGCGAGAATATTTGTATTTGTCAAACGGGAATGAAGCATCAATCATTATGTCACCAGAATAATTATTGGAAAGGAGCATCAAGATTACACTTGCACTTTCACTACCCTGTGAGGTTTATCATAAATTATTTCATCTGTAGCCTACCTAATAAACTGCATGGTTTACCGAGTAAGTGGGAGGACCACACACCATATCATCGTGTGACTCCAAGTTTAGTTTTATATGATGGTTATTAGGCTATATCCATACAAAAATACAAAAAGATCACACCATGTCAAATTAACAAATGTTCTGTCAGCATTTGTACAATTGCACCGAAACTTCCAGTTTCCATCACAGCTGTCATGGTTTTATTAATATGGTAGGCCTATGACATTACTTGCATAAAAACTGTGGATGGAAACATGGTTAGTGGTGGGGAAATGCGCACATTTTGTTTATGCCGATTTTCGAATATTCGCATGAAAATCTGTTGCGAATTGGATGGAAACCTAGTTTGTGGTTTACAAATATATATTTGTGAGAGATTAACAAAGGTCCTCTTTGCTTGTTATCTCATTCGTTGTCTTCCCAATAAGTTATAACCTCTTGAGAGACATCAATCTTAATTCTGAGTTGAACAAATGGGAGCAGGACAGAACTAAAATAAGTGTATTGTATTATTATTCAATAAATATTTGTTCTTGATCTTTTTAAATAACCAGGTTTCCATTCAAACGTTTTATGCGAGTATAGTAGCCTACACGTTGGATAAAAAATGTCAGAACAGGCCTGATGGAAACACAATTTTTATCGCTAAACTTTCCAAATGTCCACAAAACAAAATACGGTAGACAAGGTGGGATATTTTTGTGTCAGTAAAATGAATTATGTGTTGTGTGGTCCTCCTGCTACGACTCGGGAAAGCATGCAGTTTATTAGGCTACAGATGAAAAAATTATGATGAACTTCACATGATGGTGAAAGTGCCCGTTGATGAGCTTGATACTCCTTTCCAATAAATATCGAGGGTCATATAATAATTTCCCCCCATCCATTTGCTCTTGCTGAATGAACGAACGAGGTGTTTCAGATCGTTACACGTATGTACAAGCTGTGTCTCAACGTTACAATCTTGAACACGACCTTGTTTGGACGCGTCAGCTCTTTGGTCAGAAGTTGCAAAGAGTTCATTAAACTTTCAACCACAAATTGATAACAACAACCAAGCTGAGCCACCATGCTAACAAAGTGAAATGGAGGAGGAAAGAACAAAACAACACTGTTTTAATCCAGTGTTGACTCCAGGTAATCAATAATGTTTTGCATTTGTAAAGAAACGTCTACGTGTCAACGTGGGTTATCTAGCTACCTAACATAAACTAGCTAACCTAAGCTAGCTATCCGCCAGCTGTTTCGAACAGTGAGTGTACGTTAGCTGGTTGTTAGCCACTGAACGTTATTAGCTAGCTAGAAAGTTAGCAAGAAACTTGTATCCTAGTCTAAATAGTCCCCTACTTATTTGGCAAGATAGCTAACTAGTTACGTAACTAGTTAGCTAACTAGAACACTTAGCTTATTTTGGTTGTCTAGCTACCTAGTTAGATAACGTACTAGTTTGAGTCAGTGCATGGAAGGTGCAAGTTGCTAAATACTTTTTGGGGGACTTATTGTTGCCTAGGTTCAGTGAGTTTCTCCGTGATGCAGGAACATTTGTTTTTCATGTAGCTACCTAGCACATTTGTAAAAATATTTTTTGTTACCTTTCACTGACTGTTCTAGTGCAGCATCGTTGGAAAGATTTCAGATTTATCAAACCTTTATCAAGTTATGATACTGCTATTACACATTAACTAAATGTATCTGTCAATCTCTACAGATCCAGGGGGGGAGAAGCCCCGTCGAGATGGGCCGGATGAACCTATCGCTGTGGCGGTGATTGGCAGGCAGCTGACTGAACCAGGGCGCTTTGCCTACGCTGGGCTCTGTGGGGTCTCCTTGGGCCAGCTGTTTCCTGGACCTGAGAACAGGTACAGTACTGCAGGGGTTCCCAAACGACCCCTCACACGCCCCACAATTTGGCACAATTTGGCAACCACTGCTGTACTGTACCCTCAGAATAACTGTACCAAATATGTACAGTGCATTCGGAAAGTATTCAGACCCCTTGACTTTTTCCACATTTTGTGACATTACTGCCTTATTCTAAAATGGATTAAATTGTTTTTTTCCCCCTCATCAATCTACACACAATAACCAATAACTGTCCAAGATGGAGTAGCAGTGCGGTCGTGTATTCTGTTGTGTCCTCGTGTAAATAGCCTGTTTTTTTGTATTTTTTCGTATATATTTCTCGCTCACTTTCCATCCTTTAACTAAATATACTTTCCTGCAACCCGCCTCACCCAATGTGGAACGGATTCTATTATTTCTTCATTTTTATCAAGAACCTATGGCTGAAACTAGCCAGCTAGCCAGCTAACTAGCTACTTGCTATTAGCCACCGTTTGCAGTCTTCACCACTGTCGGTGGCCTGTACTACCTACCAGCCAGCTCTAGCCTGGACAATTATCAAATCAAATCATATCAAATTTTATTGGTCACATGCGCCGAATACAACAGGTGCAGACATTACAGTGAAATGCTTACTTACAGCCCTTAACCAACAGTGCATTTATTTTTAACAAAAAAAGTAAAAATAAAACAACAACAAAAAAAGTGTTGAGAAAAAAAAGAGCAGAAGTAAAATAAAGTAACAGTAGGGAGGCTATATATACAGGGGGGTACCGTTGCAGAGTCAATGTGCGGGGGCACCGGCTAGTCGAGGTAGTTGAGGTAATATGTACATGTGGGTAGAGTTAAAGTGACTATGCATAAATAATTAACAGAGTAGCAGCAGCGTAAAAAGGATGGGGTGGGGGGGGCAGTGCAAATAGTCCGGGTAGCCATGATTAGCTGTTCAGGAGTCTTATGGCTTGGGGGTAGAAGCTGTTGAGAAGTCTTTTGGACCTAGACTTGGCACTCCGGTACCTCTTGCCGTGCGGTAGCAGAGAGAACAGTCTATGACTAGGGTGGCTGGAGTCTTTGACAATTTTGAGGGCCTTCCTCTGACACCGCCTGGTATAGAGGTCCTGGATGGCAGGAAGCTTGGCCCCAGTGATGTACTGGGCCGTACGCACTACCCTCTGTAGTGCCTTGCGGTCGGAGGCCAAGCAGTTGCCATACCAGGCGGTGATGCAACCAGTCAGGATGCTCTCGATGGTGCAGCTGTAGAATATTTTGAGGATCTGAGGACCCATGCCAAATCTTTTCAGTCTCCTGAGGGGGAATAGGCTTTGTCGTGCCCTCTTCACGACTGTCTTGGTGTGTTTGGACCATGATAGTTCGTTGGTGATGTGGACACCAAGGAACTTGAAGCTCTCAACCTGTTCCACTACAGCCCCGTCGATGAGAATGGGGGCGTGCTCAGTCCTCTTTTTTTTCCTGTAGTCCACAATCATCTCCTTTGTCTTGGTCACGTTGAGGGAGAGGTTGTTGTCCTGGCACCACACGGCCAGGTCTCTGACCTCCTCCCTATATGCTGTCTCATCGTTGTCGGTGATCAGGCCTACCACTGTTGTGTCGTCGGCAAACTTAATGATGGTGTTGGAGTCGTGCCTGGCCATGCAGTCATGGGTGAACAGAGAGTACAGGAGGGGACTGAGCACGCACCCCTGAGTGGCCCCCGTGTTGAGGATCAGTGTGGCAGATGTGTTGTTACCTACCCTTACCACCTGGGGGCGGCCCGTCAGGAAGTCCAGGATCCAGTTGCAGAGGGAGGTGTTTAGTCCCAGGATCCTTAGCTTAGTGATGAGCTTAGAGGGCACTATGGTGTTGAATGCTGAGCTGTAGTCAATGAATAGCATTCTCACGTAGGTGTTCCTCTTGTCCAGGTGGGAAAGGGCAGTGTGGAGTGCAATAGAGATTGCATCATCTGTGGATCTGTTGGGGCGGTATGCAAATTGGAGTGGGTCTAGGGTTTCTGGGATAATGCTGTTGATGTGAGCCATGACCAGCCTTTCAAAGCACTTCATGGCTACAGACGTAAGTGCTACGGGTCGGTAGTCATTTAGGCAGGTTATCTTAGAGTCATTGGGCACGGGGACTATGGTGGTCTGCTTGAAACATGTTGGTATTACAGACTCAGTCAGGGACATGTTGAAAATGTCAGTGAAGACACTTGCCAGTTGGTCAGCACATGCTCGGAGTACACGTCCTGGTAATCCGTCTGGCCCTGCGGCCTTGTGAATGTTGACCTGCTTAAAAGTCTTACTCACATCGGCTACGGAGAGCGTGATCACATAGTCATCCGGAACAGCTGGTGCTCTCATGCATGCTTCAGTGTTGCTTGCCTCGAAGCGAGCATAGAAGTGGTTTAGCTCGTCTGGTAGGCTTGTGTCACTGGGCAGCTCGCGGCTGTGCTTCCCTTTGTAGTCTGTAATAGTTTTCAAGCCCTGCCACATCCGACGAGCGTCAGAGCCAGTGTAGTGCGATTCAATCTTAGTCCTGTATTGACTCTTTGCCTGTTTGATGGTTCGTCGGAGGGCAAGATCTCACCCCGTGGGGTCAAAATGATCACAAGAACGGTGAGCAAATATCTATTTTGGTTTCATCTGACCATATGACATTCTCCCAATCCTCTTCTGGATCATCCAAATGCACTCTAGCAAACTTCAGACGGGCCTGGCTTAAGCAGGGGGACACGTCTGGCACTGCAGGATTTGAGTCCCTGGCGGCGTAGTGTGTTACTGATGGTAGGCTTTGTTACTTTGGTCCCAGCTCTCTGCAGGTCATTCACTAGGTCCCCCCGTGTGGTTCTGGGATATTTGCTCACCGTTCTTGTGATCATTTTGACCCCACGGGGTGAGATCTTGCGTGGAGCCCCAGATCGAGGGAGATTATCAGTGGCCTTGTATGTCTTCCATTTCCTAATAATTGCTCCCACAGTTGATTTCTTCAAACCAAGCTGCTTACCTATTGCAGATTCAGTCTTCCCAGCCTGGTGCAGGTCTACAATTTTGTTTCTGGTGTCCTTTGACAGCTCTTTGGTCTTGGCCGTAGTGGAGTTTGGAGTATGACTGTTTGAGGTTGTGGACAGGTGTCTTTTATACTGATAACAAGTTCAAACAGGTGCCATTAATACAGGTAACGAGTGGAGGACAGAGGAGCCTCTTAAAGAAGAAGTTACAGGTCTGTGAGAGCCAGAAATCTTGCTTGTTTGTAGGTGACCAAATACTTATTTTCCACCATAATTTGCAAGTAAATTCATTAAAAATCCTACAATGGGATTTTCTGGATTTTTTTTTCCTCATTTTGTCTGTCATAGTTGACGTGTACCTATGATGAAAATTACAGGCCTCTCTCATCTTTTTAAGTGGGAGAACTTGCACAGTTGGTGGCTGACTAAATACTTTTTTTCCCCACTGTATGGTCAGATGAAACCAAAATAGAACTTTTTGGTAAAAACTCAACTCGTCGTGTTTGGAGGACAAAGAATGCTGAGTTGCATCCAAAGAACACCATACCTACTGTGAAGCATGGGGGTGGAAACATCATGCTTTGGGGCTGTTTTTCTGCAAAGGGACCAGGACGACTGATCCGTGTAAAGGAAAGAATGAATGGGGCCATGTATCGTGAGATTTTGAGTGAAAACCTCCTTCCATCAGCAAGGGCATTGAAGATGAAACGTGGCTGGGTCTTTCAGCATGACAATGATCCCAAACACACCGCCCGGGCAACGAAGGAGTGGCTTCGTAAGAAGCATTTCAAGGTCCTGGAGTGGCCTAGCCAGTCTCCAGATCTCAACCCCATAGAAAATCTTTGGAGGAAGTTGAAAGTCTGTGTTGCCCAGCGACAGCCCCAAAACATCACTGCTCTAGAGGAGGATCTGCATGTAGGAATGGGCCAAAATACCAGCAACAGTGTGTGAAAACCTTGTGAAGACTTACAGAAAACGTTTGACCTGTGTCATTGCCAACAAAGGGTATATAACAAAGTATTGAGAAACTTTTGTTATTGACCAAATACTTATTTTCCACCATAATTTGCAAATACATTCATTAAATATCCTACAATGTGATTTTCTGGATTTTTTTTTCTCATTTTGTCTGTCATAGTTGACGTGTACCTATGATGAAAATTACAGGCCTCTCTCATCTTTTTAAGTGGGAGAACTTGCACAATTGGTGGCTGACTAAATACTTTTTTCCCCCACTGTAGATGTACAGTGGGGAGAACAAGTATTTGATACACTGCCGATTTTGCAGGTTTTCCTACTTACAAAGCATGTAGAGGTCTGTAATTTTTATCATAGGTACACTTCAACTGTGAGAGACGGAAATCCAGAAAATCACATTGTAAGATTTTAAAGTAATTAATTTGCATTTTATTGCATGACATAAGTATTTGATCACCTACCAACCAGTAAGAATTCCGGCTCTCACAGACCTGTTAGTTTTTCTTTAAGAAGCCCTCCTGTTCTCCACTCATTACCTGTATTAACTCGTTACCTGTATAAAAGACACCTGTCCACACACTCAATCTAGCAGACTCCAACCTCTCCACAATGGCCAAGACCAGATAGCTGTGTAAGGACATCAGGGATAAAATTGTAGACCTGCACAAGGCTGGGATGGGCTACAGGACAATAGGGAAGCAGCTTGGTGAGAAGGCAACAACTGTTGGCGCAATTATTAGAAAATTGAAGAAGTTCAAGATGACGGTCAATCACCCTCGGTCTGGGGCTCCATGCAAGATCTCACCTCGTGGGGCATCAATGATCATGAGGAAGGTGAGGGATCAGCCCACAACTACACGGCAGGACCTGGTCAATGACCTGAAGAGCGCTGGGACCACAGTCTCAAAGAAAACCATTAGTAACACACTACGCCGTCATGGATTAAAATCCTGCAGCGCACGCAAGGTCCCCCTGCTCAAGCCAGCGCATGTTCAGGCCCGTCTGAAGTTTGCCAATGACCATCTGGATGATCCAGAGGAGGAATGGGAGAAAGTCATGTGGTCTGATGAGACAAGAATATAGCTTTTTGGTCTAAACTCCACTCGCTGTGTTTGGAGGAGGAAGAAGGATGAGTACAACCCCAAGAACACCATCCCAACCGTGAAGCATGGAGGTGGAAACATCATTCTTTGGGGACACACAGCCAGGGCAACTAAGGAGTGGCTCCGTAAGAAGCATGTCAAGGTCCTGGAGTGGCCTAGCCAGTCTCCAGACCTGAACCCAATAGAAAATCTTTGGAGGGAGCTGAAACATTTTCCATCTAGATAGAACTGCCAAAGGGGGGCGGCGTTGCAATCTGCTGTAGAGATATCATATCATACTATCCAGGTCTGTGCCCAAACAGTTTGAGCTTCTACTTCTAAAAATCCACCTTTCTAGAAATAAGTCTCTCACTGTTGCCGCTTGCTACAGACTCCCCTCAGCCCCCAGTTGTGCCCTGGACACCATATGTGAATTGCTTGCCCCCCATCTATCCTCAGAGTTCGTACTGCTTGGTGACCTAAACTGGGATATGCTTAACACCCCGGCCGTCCTACAATCTAAACTAGATGCCCTCAATCTCACACAAATTATCAAGGAACCTACCAGGTACAACCCTAAATCTGTAAACATGGGCACCCTCATAGATATCATCCTGACTAATTTACCCTCTAAATACACCTCCGCTGTCTTCAACCAGGATCTCAGCGATCACTGCCTCATTGCCTGCGTCCGTAATGGGTCTGTGGTCAAACGACCACCCCTCATCACTGTGAAACGCTCCCTAAAACACTTCAGCGAGCAGGCCTTTCTAATTGACCTGGCCCGGGTATCCTGGATGGATATTGACCTCATTCCGTCAGTAGAGGATGCCTGGATGTTCTTCAAAAGTGCTTTCCTCTCCATCTTAAATAAGCATGCCCTATTAAAAAAATTCAGAACTAAGAACAGATATAGCCCCTGGTTCACCCCAGACTTGACTGCCCTTGACCAGCACAAAAACATCCTGTGGCGTACTGCATTAGCATCGAACAGCCCCCGCGATATGCAACTTTTCAGAGAAGGCAGGAACCAATATACACAATCAGTTAGGAAAGCAAAGGCTAGCTTTTTCAAACATAAATGTGCATTCTGTAGCACTAACTCCAAAAAGTTTTGGGACACTGTAAAGTCCATGGAGAATAAGAGCACCTCCTCCCAGCTACCCACTGCACTGAGGCTAGGAAACACTGTCACCACCGATAAATCTACGATAATCAAGAATTTCCATGCTTTCCACCTGGCTACCGCTACCCCGGCCACCAGCTCTGCACCCTCCGCTGCAACTTGCCCATGCCCCCCCCGCTTCTCCTTCACCCAAATTCAGATAGCTGAGGTCCTGAAAGAACTGTAAAATCTGGACCCTACAAATCAGCTGGGCTAGACAATCTGGACCCTTTCTTTCTAAAATTAGCTGCCGAAATTGTCGCAACCTCTATAACTAGCCTGTTCAACCTCTCTTTTGTATCGTCTGAGATCCCCAGAGAATGGAAAGCTGCCGCGGTCATCTCCATCTTCAAAGGGGGTGACACTCTAGATCCAAACTGTTACAGACCTATATCCATCCTGCCCTGCCTTTCGAAAGTATTTGAAAGCCAAGTTAACAAACAGATCACCGACCATTTCGAATCCCACCGTACCTTCTCCGCTATGCAATCTGGATTCCGAGCTGGTCATGGGTGCACCTCAGCCACGCTCAAGGTCCTAAATGATATAATAACTGCGATCGATAAAAGACAGTACTGTGCAGGCGTCTTTATCGACCTGGCCAAGGCTTTTGACTCTGTCAATCACCGCATTCTTATTGGCAGACTAAATAGGCTTGGTTTCTCATATGACTGCCTCGCCTGGATCACCAACTACTTCTCAGATAGAGTTCAATGTGTCAAACTGGAGGGCCTGTGGTCTGGACCTCTGGCAGTCTATGGGGTGCCACAGGGTTCAATTCTCGGGCCGACTCTATTCTCTGTGTATATCAATGATGTTGCTCTTGCTGCTGGTGACTCTCAGATCCACCTCTACGCAGACGGCACCATTTTGTATACATATTTCCCTTCATTGGACACTGTGTTAACAAACCTCCAAACGAGCTTCAATGCCATACAACACTCCTTCAGTAGCCTCCAACTGCTCTTAAACGCTAGTAAAACTAAATGCATGCTCTTCAATCGAACGCTGCTGGCACCCGCCCGCCCGACTAGAATCACTACTCTCGGCGGGTCTGACTTAGAATATGTGGACAACTACAAATACCTAGGTGTCTGGTTAGACCATAAACTCTCCTTTCAGACTCATATTAAGCATCTCCAATCCAAAGTTAAATCTAGAATCGGCTTCCTATTTCGCAACAAAGCCTCCTTCACTCATGCTGCTAAACATGCCCTCGTAAAACTGACTATCCTACCGATCCTTGACTTCGGCGATGTCATTTACAAAATAGCTTCCAACACTCTACTCAGCAAATTGGATGTATTATATCACAGTGCCTTCCGTTTTGTCACCAAAGCCCCATATACTACCCACCATTGTGACCTGTACGCTCTCGTTGGCTGGCCCTCACTACATATTCGTCACCAAACCCACTGGCTCCAGGTCATCTATAAATCACTTATAGGCAAATCCCCGCCTTATCTTAGCTCATTGGTCACCATAGCAACACCCACCCGCAGTATGCGTTCCAGCAGGTATATCACTGGTCATCCCCAAAGCCAACACCTCCTTTGGCCACCATTCCTTCCAGTTCTCTGCTGGAAATGACTGGAACGAACTGCAAAAATCTCTGAAGCTGGAGACACTCACTAACTTTAAGCATCAGTTGTCAGAGCAGCTTACCGATCACTGCACCTGTACACAGCCCATCTGTAATTAGCCCACCCAACTACCTCATCCCCATATTGTTATTTACATTGTTATTTATTTTGTTCATTTGCACCACAGTATCTCTATTTGCACATCATCTTCTGCACATCTATCACTCCAGTGTTAATACTAAATTGTAATTATTTTGCACTATGGCCTATTTATTGCCTTACCTCCATAACTACTACATTTGCACACACTGTATATAGATTTTCTATTGTGTTATTGACTGTACGTTTTGTTTATTCCATATGTAACTCTGTGTTGTTGTTTTTATCGCACTGCTTTGCTTTATCTTGGCCAGGTCGCAGTTGTAAATGAGAACTTGTTCTCAACTGGCTTACCTGGTTAAATAAAGGTGAAATAAAATAAAATAAAAATAATGACAAAGCAAAAACACGTTTTTACAGCCTCGAGTCTTCTTGGGTATGACGCTACAAGCTTGGTACACCTGTATTTGTGGAGTTTCTCCCATTCTTCTCTGCAGATCCTCTCAAGCTCTGTCAGGTTGGATGGGGAGCGTCGCTGCACAGCTATTTTCAGGTCTCTCCAGAGATGTTCGATTGGGTTCAAGTCCGGGCTCTGGCTGGGCCACTCAAGGACATTGAGACTATGTCCCAAAGCCACTTCTGCGTTGTCTTGGCTGTGTGCTTAGGGTCGTTGTCCTGTTGGAAGGTGAACCTTCGCCCCAGTCTGAGGTACTGAGCACTCTGGAGCAGGTTTTCATCAAGGATCTCTCTGTACTTTGCTCCATTCATCTTTCCCTCGATCCTGACTTGTCTCCCTGCCGCTGAAAAACATTCCCACAGCATGATGCTGCCACCACCATGCTTCACCGTAGGGATGGTGCCAGGTTTCCTCCAGACGTGACGCTTGGCATTCAGGCCAAAGAGTTCAATCTTGTTTTCATCAGACCAGAGAATCTTGTTTCTCATGGTCTGAGAGTCCTTTAGATGACTTTTTTGCAAACGCCAAGTGGGCTGTCGTGCCTTTTATTGAGGAGTGGCTTCTATCTGGCTACTCTACAAAGGCCTGACTGGTGGAATGGTGCAGATATGGTTGTCTTTCTGTAAGGTTATTTTAATAAATTTGTTGATATGAATATGAACAATATGAACATCTTGCTGGCTTTGCCTAAACTTAGTCCTCTAATCGTTGTACAGGTCTTTCCGGGAGCAGTACCTGGAGGGGCTGGTGCTATGGCTGGGGCTGGATGAGTCGGTGATGCCCGTCATGGGGGCCTTTCTGGCAGGCCTGGGATTCGAGGGCAGCGACACCTTCCTCTCCATCCTTCAGGCTGAGCCACTACTGTCTGCACGGGCCACTCCCATCACACAGGTGGGTTCGGTCACTGCCTTGCACATATCCAATCAAATGCTGGAATGATTAATCAGTGTATTGGTGATATGACCATGCTCTCTCTTTTTTGCACAAGTGACCTACATGTAACTTATTATATTTGTGGCCCAGCACTTCAAAACAAAGTAAGCTTTGGGCATACTGTCACTTCTAAGATCATTCACAAGTTCCTTGTGTCATTCTCTCTCACTCACAGGACCTTGTGTCTTTTTCCATCAAAGATGGTAAGTAGCTTACATTAATTAGTTAGTAGAGTTGGCCTTCATCAAAACTGGAAAGTTCATAAAGTACTAACAATGTCTCTGAATGTGACCAAAACATACTTTGATCCCAGGCCTGTACGACTCCAGATCACGAGTCCTAATTCGCCATGTCAGCTGTCTACTGCGAGTGTCCCCTCAGCAACTGGAGGAGTTTGAGGCGACGCTGGGTGAACGACTGAGAGAGGGAGTGGTGGAGAGCGCGTAAGTGAGGGAGAGAAGAATGAATAAAAACTAGTTTCCCTAGTCATGAAGATGTTTAAACTAGATAAAATGTTTATCTATGTTGGTGGCAGTGTGATTTTTGCATGGGTAATTACATTCAGTGTACTCTCTTTTATGTGTCATTGCTTTGCCTCAGGACTGACTACAACAGTAAGTTTGTTTATCCTTTATGGTCTACTTGGTTTGGTTTCAGTAGGGAATGACCCTGTGGTGAAACATGTATTCATAAACTGTAGTACTTCCGTCACATTGTAAACATTGTCGTTGAGTAGCCTATATGAATCCACCAATACATCTATTGTTTATAGACCATTATGCATCTCGCTGTATATTCAGATGCTCTTCTTTCTTTTATCTCTCAGAGAGGATTCATCTCGGCGACGGACAAAAGAGAGAGGACGTAAATTACGACGCTACCTCCTCATTGGCCTGGCCACTGTGGGTGGAGGAGCTGTGATTGGTCAGTGCCTTAACTTGGGCCAATCGCTAGTATTAGAGGCAGCATTGAGAAATTCAAATTTGTTGTATTACTCACTCATTAGCAAATTATGCCATTATTTAATGTAGGTGTGACGGGCGGGTTGGCGGCACCACTGGTGGCGGCGGGGGCATCGGCCGTACTAGGGGCAGGAGGGGCGGCTGCTCTGGGCTCAGCCACTGGCATCGCCATCATGGCCTCCCTGTTTGGAGCAGCAGGGGCTGGCTTAACTGGTGAGATCACTGGGAGATGAATGGGCTTTGGCAGTGTATGAAGATAGTTTGTCTCCTTTTTAATTTGAGATAGGTAGTCTCCTTTTTAAATTTTTTGTTTGAGATCAGAATCTCTTTCCTGCTATCATTTACCTTATTGTCTCACTCGTTCTTTCTCTGTCTCTCTCTAGGCTATAAGATGAATAAGCGGGTGGGAGCAATAGAGGAGTTTGAGTTTCTGCCACTGAGCTCAGGGAAGCACCTACACCTGACTGTGGCTGTGACCGGCTGGCTGTGCACTGGCAAATACAGTGAGCAAGCATAACCTCTCACCAGTCTCACTGTAGAATCTACCATCAATACTAACATCAAACTGTGTCCACGTACACTGACGGCCACTTAAAGACTACCAAGGTCATCTACTGTACATACTTTACAAACCCATGGAGGCAAAAAGTAGGAGAATCTTGACTGAACAGAAAGTTGCAATGTTATTCATATCACTGATATGATAGCGAATTGAAAAAATGCAACTGATAAAGATTTTCCATATCGGTGTCCATCACTATTAAAATTAATAGTTTCATGGGACGTACATTATATCACTTACCGGTATCCACTTTGCTGAACTCACGTGTCCTGTCCTCTCTCCCACCCTCAGGTTCGTTCCAGGCTCCTTGGTGCAGTCTGGGTGCGTGCGGAGAGCAGTACTGTCTGGTGTGGGAGTCTCGTTTCCTCAGGGACCTGGGTTCCACCATGGCTGCTCTTCTCGACGGCCTGGTCAGCATGGTGGCCCAGGAGGCCCTCAAGTACACTGTGCTGTCAGGTAGGTCATCTGTTCTATCACACCAAGCCTCACCACTGGCTAGTTAAAAAATATATATTAAGGACAGTGGAATTCCACTAAATTGTTTTATTCAGACAGACATTGCATTGAAATGAGAGGGAAGACATAGAGAGGGATACATTCAGAGTAGCTGGTTGAACAGATGATGCCTTCTGTTGATCTTGTCAAGGGGAGGCATATTTTTAGGGGTTACGATATCTTGTACTGAAAATGCCATCAATAGGGATGACGTCGTGATGCGGAGGCTTGTCTGATAGAACGTCGGCAACAGCTGTTAGAAAGAAGCCTTAGGGTTCCTTTGACATTTGTGTGGGTGGAAATAAGTGGCCATGTGAGCTTATATGCAAGCATTGTGACTGAGTTAAATGAGCCTTTTTTTAGATGAATGGGATTTTGTAGTAGGCTACACCATTGAGAATTCTTTCCAGTTTCACCAAGGAGTTCAAGGACAAACTTTGAACATGGCACTCACTCAATGTATCCTGTACTGTAGAAACAAAGTCTACATTAATTTTCATTTCAAGTTAAACTTTTCCATGAACATAGCAGGTTTGATTGATTGTTGATTTCCAACTAGCATCCTAAATTCTAAAGAGTGTTGTCCTCCAGTCTCATATATAGCCTAGCAACCCTCCACTACTGAACATTTCTTTCCCCTACTTGTCCCTGTCTAGGTATTGTGACTGCGCTTACATGGCCTGCCTCTCTACTTGCGGTGGCCAGTGTTATAGACAATCCCTGGTCTGTGTGTCTTAGTCGCTCAGCCGAGGTGGGAAAACACCTAGCGCAGGTGTTGAGGAGTAGGCAGCAGGTATGCTTCTCACTTCTGAGAACAGCTAACACCACACACCAGCATGACCACTCAGTAGGATTCAATCCTGTTGAAACAGGGATCTCTTGTTAATTACATTTCTAAATACTAATATGTTCAAGGTAGGTAGCTTAGTGCTTAAGAGCGTTGTGCCAGTAACCGAAAGGTCGCTGGTTCTAATCCCCGAGCCGACTAGGTGAAAAATCTGTCGATGTGCCCTTGAGCAAGGCACTTAACCCTAATTGCTCCTGTAAGTCGCTCTGGATAAGAGCGTCTGCTAAATGACTAAAAAATTAAATTAAATAAATAAAAATATACAGTGCCCTCCGTAATTATCGGGACAGTGAAGCATTTATTCCTCTTTTGGCTCTATACTTAAAAAGTTTGGATTTTAAATCAAACAATGACTATGAGGTTAAAGTGCAGACTGTCACCTTTAATTTGAGGGTATTTACATCTCTATCGGGTGAACTGTTTAGAAAGTACATAGTCACCCCATTTTAGGGGAGCAAAAGTATTGGGACAAATTCACTTATGTGTATTATTATTCACGATTCATTCAGGATTATCCATAATCATGGTAGCATCCACATTAATGTAGAAGTGTTTAGAAAAATATTTATTTACAATAAAAGTGACTCCAAAATGGCACAGTACATTATTTACCATTAATTTCGATTGGGCACAAAATAATCTGAAACAACCTAAACAAAGAGCAAATGCATCCAACTGTCACAAGCTTGAGTCATTGCGTGCTATGAATATGGGAAGAAATACTTAACTTTGTACTACTTTAATATACATAAGTGAATTTGTCCCAGTACTTTTTCTTATGTACAAACACTGCTGTAATTTCTAAATGCTTCACCCGATATGGATGAAAATACCCTCAAATTAAAGCTGACTGTCTGTCTGCACTTTAACCTCATAGTTATTGTTTGATTTTTCATTATTGAGCCAAAAGAAAAATGCTTCACTGTCCGACTAATTACGGAGGACACTGTAGCTGTAATTAGGGCTGGGCGATATATCAAATTAATTTGAATTATGTTTGAGACGCATTTGGAATATTGTGCTATCGCAATAATGGAGTTTAATTTAATTTTTGTATGAACGTTTATGTCCACTTGTTCTCATGTCTTTTTTGTCTCGTCTCCTTCGCTCCTTCTGCTGTGACTGTGCACGTTCCCATTTACACACACACACACCAAGCCCCTGCCACTCACAACAACAAAGATGAGAGATCACTTCTTCCTCTCTGACAAGCGGTTTCAACTCGCTATTTGCATTTGAGGTTTGGTCCAACAGTTGAGACATTATTTTACTGTAATAGAATTTAACCTTTCTAACAATGCCCTTTTTATGTCTCAACTCCTCAAATTGCACTCAGAGCATACACTACTAAAACAGGAGTATCAACTAACATTGATTCTGGAAAATAAATGCTCAGTGTGTCGCGTGCGGCATTGAGGTACTACCGCTAGCAGCATTTTAGCCAAAGATTGTTATACTAGATGTCTAGTCTTGTTTCGGCCGAGGCTGCTCCTCCTCCTTGTTCGGGCAGGCTTCGGCGGTCGTCGTCCCCGGAGTACTAGCTACCACCGTTCGATGTTTCATGTTTGTTTGGTTTTGTCTGTTTGTACACCTGTCCCTTGTTAGTGTTTGATTTTGTTTCCTATTTAGTTATCGTGTGTTGGGTCAGGTGTTATGTGTGATTGTTATGTCAGCTGTTGCTGTTGATGGGTTTTCTCTCTCGTGTTGTTTGTGTCGAGAGTCCGCACTGCGTGCGCCTTTTCTTGTTTTTACGCACTGTTGTGTGTGTGCGTAATTTGTTCATGCCTCCCGGTTGGGTTGGCTATTCACCTGTTTGGAGTTACTATTTTGGATTACTAAAGTCTGTTGACGAACACCCTTGTTCCTGCGCTTGATTCCCTGCACCACATCCACACTCAGCGTTCTGACAGAATCACACATCAACCCATGGAATCAGCAGGAGCAACCGTGCCAACAGACATTATGGAGGACCGTCTTCGTGGGCAGGAGGACAGGATCAACCAGATCGGTCACGCCCTGGATCGGGTGATGAACACTCTCCACCGATGGGAAAGCAGCGGGGTACCTACCATGATTATGGATAATCCTGAATGAATCGTGAATAATAATACACATAAGTGAATTTGTCCCAATACTTTTGCTCCCCTAAAATGGGGTGACTATGTACTTTCTAAACAGTTCACCCGATAGAGATGTAAATACCCTCAAATTAAAGGTGACAGTCTGCACTTTAACCTCATAGTCATTGTTTGATTTAAAATCCAAACTTTTTAAGTATAGAGCCAAAAGAGGAATAAATGCTTCACTGTCCCGATAATTACGGAGGGCACTGTATATTTTTATTTATTTAATTTAATTTTTTAGTCATTTAGCAGACGCTCTTATCCAGAGCGACCTTTCGGTTACTGGCACAACGCTCTTAAGCACTAAGCTACCTACCTTGAACATATTAGTATTTAGAAACTGACAAGTCTGTGTTTTATAAGTGTGCAATAAGCATAAAACACAATTATATAAGGAATTGCCAACTTGGTAGGTAGCCCACTTGATTTCAACATCTGAACAAAGTGGACAGGCTAGCATGCTGTTCAAACAGTTGGAGATGGACAGAAGGGTGTGTTCACAACAGTTCAACTGTTCTACCTTGTTAGCTAGCAAACAGTGTTGGCAACTATTTTTCAGTGAGATCCGCTATTGGCTCCTTGATCTGTCGCTAGATTACGTTTTGCCGTGACGTCACAGCACCAATTTGCCTTGCTGCGGTCCCCGACGTAGATTTTCACCCACTCTCCTGCTGCACACCCCCTCCCCTTGTGCTTCTTTGCATGTGTGCGCAGTTGCTGTGACTTCTGTTGCACAGACAGCTTCTTCTAAATGCATTTCAAAACCATAGTAACCCTTGGTGTCAAAACTCCCCAAAGGCTGCCTGAAAAGTAACTGAATTTGTCGCTAGAATCTTTTACGAATACAAGTCGCTGGAGGGCTATGAAAACTGGCAAAATATATCGACAACGTCGCTAAATTGGCAACAAGTTGGCTAAACTTGAAATATAAAGATTAGCTGGCTACTCACTAGCACATGGGCTTGTGCTTGAGAGATTGTGTATGAGACCAGTGTTATGCCTGCTACAAGAAGTTAGTCATTATTAGTGAATGTGCATTATGCATGGTTCTGGTAAAATTTGAGACAGAAAGGGCATTTTCATAGACTTGAAAGCCAGATCAGTGATTATTGCAGAAAAGCTGGTTAAACCATTTTGAGAAAATAATTAAATTATTAGTCGGTCTTATGGTTGCGGAAGGCTTATATTTATCCTAGGTATAATTTCACAAGCCCTGAATTCATTAGATTATTGCAGACTGTTTGAAATGCAGTGTACAACAAAACGTAAAAATATCGTGAAAATCCCGTAAATGAAAACAAAATCCATATATATGATTTTTATGCCATATCGCAGAGCCCTAGCTGTAATGGTCATTGGAGTTTCAACATCCACATTGAAGGTTTTACAATTAACATGTCTTTATACAACTAAAGTAAAATTTTATAGATTTGTTTGCTGTAGATGTGTTTACAATTATCTGAAAGCCTATGTCATGATGTTTGTTGTGTCAACAAATCAGCATTGGTGTTAACATTTTTAAAGGGGAAGCGTCCTGTCAGTCTCATTGGCTTCAGTCTTGGAGCGAGGGTTATCTACTTCTGCCTTCAGGAACTTGCCAAAGATCAAGGTATAACATGCACACTAAACCCTTGCCTGACTTTATACATACTATAGACTGTAACAAGCCTAACAATAGTCAAATTGTATTGTTGCATTTAACTGCAATGCCTACAGAGAATTTGCATATTCATCTAGGTATGCTTTTGATCTATTAATCAAAATATTCATTTTTGTGAGATATTTTTGCCAGATACATGTCACTGCTTCCACACACACACACAACTGCAATACAGAACTGTTCAAATTAACAATATGTCTCTCTTTCCATCCTTCTGTTGTACATGGTCTCAGGCTGTGAGGGCGTGGTGGAGGATGTTGTCCTATTGGGTGCCCCAGTAGATGGCACCGCCCAAGCCTGGGAGAGAATGGCCAAGGTTGTCGCTGGGAAGATAGTGAATGGATACTGCAGGTGAGAAATAAATCCTATCCCATCTTACCTTGGGGGGCGAGATTGTTATCTGGGTGATGTAAAATATGTATACAGCAAGTTTTGAATTTGAGCTATTTTCAAACAGAAATGAATGTATATGACCATTTCGATATTAGATTATATTTTCATATGCACGCATTCTTTATCTATTAGGAATGGCATAAATAAGCATATAAATTATTTAGTCTCTTCATTGATAAAGGTAGCACATTCATGATACAAAGGTGCAGTGGTTTTTATTAATTGGTCCATCTACCTGTCAGAGGGGACTGGCTACTGGGATACGTGTACAGGGGTTCATCGGCACAGCTGTCTGTTGCAGGGCTTCAGCCAATCAGCTTGAATGATCGCCGCATATTCAACGTGGATCTATCTTCTGTGGTGAGTTAGACTATTGTACCTCAATTAGTCATTTCTAAATTAAAAGTGGTAGCTCGCTACATTTCAATGACTACCAGGTGTGAGCAGATGGAGAATTCACACAACTGTGCAGTACCAACTAGCCTGGTGATGCTTTCATCCTATAAACCGCCGTTGTAGCTTCATGATGCTACAGGCCTCAATGACTCCACAGCCTTGGGAATGGAATTAGAGGTCAAGCTATTGAGATCTGAAGACGTTTACTATTGAGCTGCTGGGAGGCATTGATTGCGTGAGTTTTTCAGCAGACAAGGTTGAGGGATGAGATTACTTCTAGCTACACAATGGCTGTGTGTTCAATAGTACTTTTTTTTTTTTTTATCCAGTTTTTTTTTTGTCATTTAGCAGACGCTCTTATCCAGAGCGACTTACAGTGAGTGCATACATTATTATTTTTTATTTTTCATACTGGCCCCCCTTGGGGCCATTTCAGTTGGTGTCAGGCAAACTTGTACTTTCTCTTTTTTGCCAATACTGTCTCTAAAACCTTTTATTACTACAACATAATAGACATGGATTCATAATGCACCATTTATTTAAAGTTGAAGGAAAACTATGTTAAGGTAACTGCAGGTTGTACTGTCAGTTCACAGCCAGGCTTAGGTATTCAGCCACCACCCCCATGGACTTGTCATATGAAAAGACAACCTTTGACAGAAAATCATCATGGTAGATGCACAAAGGACATGTACAACTTGGAGATCATTACAATCTTGACGTGTTGAATAGGGTCGGGACGATACCAGTATCACGGCAAGAAAACAAAACACGAGGCATCATTACATCATTATGTTGTTATTACATCATTTATTTATTTTCCAAGCTATAGCACACAATGTTTTACATACAGCAGGTTTTTAGAGGACCAAAGAGTTTGGTCTGCTTCGTGTTTTTCATTTTTGCCATGGAATAAATATTGCGATACTGGTATTGTCCCGGCCCTAGTGTTTGAATGGAAATTATGGAACTCTACAGCATTATGTTTTACATAATGTTGTTTGCTGTAAATAAAGTGGCCTATTCATGGCAAAACTTCAGTTGCACAATGTGAAATCTATAAAGTGTAAAGTAATGTCCAGTTATTAAAACAAGTCCACGGTATGTTTTGAATTTCCATCGGTAAAGGGGTGAAAATGTGTCCAGAAAGCCCACTTTTCCTTCTCCGAACATATTCAAATGCTTTTAACCCCCCCTCCCCATTCTTTTAGGTGAAAGGTCACTTGGACTACATGCGTCAGATGGATACCATCCTCGTAGCAGTGGGCGTGCCCACCAGAGAAGTTCCAGGAGCTGGGGGCGGACCTCTTCAGCCACTCACTATGACCGAGAGAGAACTGGACATAGCCATGGTCCAATCAGCACCAGGGGAAGTGGCTGAAGAGCAAAAACTGGTTGGTTCTTCGGCTGGAGCAGATGAGACTTGCATGGGTGAGGGAGGGCAGCTGGAGGAAAAAGAAGATATGGGAGACGGTTGGGATATCCCTGACATATCAGATCTGTTGGACTCGCTAAACGAGATCGATGTTGTTCCAACTGAAAACAGTGTTGAGGGTAACCTGCAACAGAGTTCTGAGGGGAATGCCACCCATAGGGACAACGGTGTATCTTCCCATCTAGAGTTTGATGGATGGGGAAAGGAGGAGGAGGAGGAGGAGGAGGAGGAATGGGGAGAGGGAGTAGAGGGGACAGAGTGTGACACTGAACACACATCCTGGAGTTGGGAGGACACACGCTGGACTCCTGAGCACAAACACATGGGACCAAACAAGCGGACATAGGAGGTTACAGTACCAACTGCCTCACTGCAGTTTGTCTGCCTCTTCTCAACTTGAATTACCAACAACATCCCAATCGTGTGTGGAAAGACCTCCTTTACCTTCACAGCACACTCAGGTGCCAGAACACATATATATATATATATTTATTTTAATCGAACTAATCATGAACGTGAACTCCTTAAGGGCTTTTTAGATTTATTTAACTATGGCAATCTAAGTTTTGTCAATTGTTTAATTTAGAAGTTAATCTGTGAAAAGAAAAGTGTTGCATAATGTATGCACTGTATAGTGTGTTAAAGTATTGTCGGTTTTATGTAGGCAGGATGTAAATTAAAAACATTTAATTACAAAACATTTAATCACAGACATCCCCCACTTTTATGGATATAAAGACAATGCAGCATGAATGAGTACCAACTATATTCCTGTATTCCTCCGGTCGATTATTCCATCTGTTGGGGATTATGGTTATCACAGTGATGTCACCCAGTGATGCAGTCACCAAGTGATTCTCAGTGCTTAGCTCTTCCTCATCCACTCCTGTCCTGTATGCTAAATTACACCTTCTAGATTATTTTCCCATCTTGCTACCACCCACAGTGCCGCTTTGATGAGTTAAACAAGACACACCTTCCTCCAACCAACTTTTCAATTCAGCCAAGTTTCACATCCTGTACTCTTGGTGGTCATACATTACATTATGGAACACAGCATCTGTTCATGCGCTCTTCTTCATCCTCCCCTTCAGTCTAGCGTGTCCACCTGATTGGGCAGCAGCAGGGGCAGCTCAATCCCAGCATGCTCTGCGTCAAACAAGTTGACGGCGTCTGTGGCGGTGGCGGGGGGCTGTGGGGGGTCGGAGGCCAGGGAGGGGGGCTCTGTGGGCAGGTTGGGCTCACCAGAGTTGCAGAGGGAGAGCTCTGGCGAGGGTCTGCGGGGCGAGCGGGTGGAGCAGCAGGGCAGCAGCCGCCCCAGGGCCCGTTTGAAGTCGCGCATGAACAGCGGGTAGATAATGGGGTTCATGGTGCTGTTACAGTAGCCCAGCCAGGTGATGGCCTCGAAGAGTGCCAGGGGAACACACTCGCATACCGCCTGACAGGTGAGAGAGAGGGCAACAGACAGGCACTGGGGTTGTGTTCAGTATGTACACAACATTAAGATTTTGTGAAACAAACATTCAAATGAAAAGTATTCTTATCAGAAATATGTAGCTTGTCGGAAATACAGTGCCTATCGTAAGTATTCACCCCCCTTGGATTTCTTTTCACATTTTGTTGCATTACAAAGTGGGATCGAAATTGACTTAATTGTGATTTTGTTTTTGTCACCGATGACTTTACAAATTAATAAAACATGTATAACTAAAAGGTCTTGGTTGCATAAGTATTCACACACTTTGTTATGGCAAGCCTGATATACAGTGCATTCGGAAAGTATTCAGACCGTTACAGCCTTATTCTAAAATAAAATGTTTTCATCAATCTACACACAATACACAATACCTCATAATGATCAAACAAAAACAGGTTTTTCGACATTTTTGCAAATGAATAAAAAAAACAGATATCACATTTACATAAGTACTTTGTTGAAGCACCTTTGGCAGCGATTACAGCCTTGAGTCTTCTTGGGTAGGACGCTACAAGTTTGGCACACCTGTATTTGGGGAGTTTCTCCCATTCTCCTCTGCAGATCCACTCAAGCTCTGTCAGGTTGTATGGGGAGCGTCGCTGCACAGCTATTTTGAGGTCTCCAGAGATGTTTGATCGGGTTCAAGTCCGGGCTCTGGCTGGGCCACTCAAGGACATTCAGAGACTTGACCCGAAGCCACTCCTGCGTTGTCTTGGCTGTGTGCTTAGGGTCGTTGTCCTGTTGGAAGATTAACCTTCGCCCCAGTCTGAGGTCCTGAGCACTCTGGAGCAGGTTTTCATCAAGGACCTCTCTGTACTTTGCTCCATTCATCATTTCCTTGATCCTGACTAGTCTCTCAGTCCCTGCTGCTGATAAACAACCACACAGCATGATGCTGCCACCACCATGCTTCACCGTAGGGATGGTGCCAGGTTTCCTCCAGACTTGACGCTTGGCATTCAGGTCAAAGAGTTCAATCTTGGTTTCATCAGACCAGAGAATCTTGTTTCTCATGGTCTGAGAGTCCTTTAGTAGGTGCCTTTTGGAAAACTCCAAGTGGGCTGTACTTTTACTGAGGAGTGGTTTCCATCTGGCCACTCTACCATAAAGGCCTGATTGGTGAAGTGCTGCAGAGATGGTTGTCCTTTTTATACAATGTTTACTTTAGTTTATTTAGTAAATATTTTTCTTGAACTGCATTGTTGGTTAAGGGCTTGTAAGTAAGCATTTCACAGTAAGCTCTACACCTGTTGTATTCGGCGCATGTGACAAACAATTTGATTTGATTTGATTCCTGGAAGATTCTCCCATCTCCACATAGGAACTATGGAGCTCTGTCAGAGTGACAATCGGGTTCTTGGTCACCTCCCTGACCAAGGCCCTTCTCCCCCGATTGCTCAGTTTGGCCGGGCGGCCAACACTAGGAAGAGTCTTGGTGGTTCCAAACTTCTTCCATTGAAGAATGATGGCCACTGTTCTTGGGGACCTTCAATGCTGCAGAATTTTTTTAGTACCCTTCCCCAGATCTGTGCCTTGACACAATCCTGTCTCGGAGCTTTATGGACAATTCCTTCGACCTCATGCCTTGGTTTTTGCTCTGACATGCACTGTCAACTGTGGGACCTTATATAGACAGGTGTGTGCCTTTCCAAATCATGCCCAATCAATGGACTTTACCACAGGTGGACTCCAATCAAGTTGTAGAGACATCTCAAGGATGATCAATGGAAACAGGATGCAACTGAGCTCAATTTCGAGTCTCATAGCAAAGGGTCTGAATACTTATGTAAATAAGGTATCTGGTTTTCATTTTTAATACATTTGCAAACATACATTATGGGGTATTGTGTGTAGATTGATGAGGGAAATGTTTTTAAAAATAAATTTTACAATAAGGGGGTAACGTAACAAAATGTGGAAAAAGGGAAGGGGTCTGAATACTTTCCGAATGCACTGTATTTGCACTTCCCCAGAATTTGGTTGTTGATCATTGCTAGACAGCCATTTAGCAGTTATGTCCTTGAGCTGTTCTTGTCTATTAATGTTCTGTATTATTTCATGTTTTGTGTGGACCTCAGAAAGAGTAGCTGCTGCTTTTACAACAGCTAATGGGGATCTGAATAAAATACTAAATACCAACTTGACAGAGCTTGAAGAATTTAAAAAAGAATAATGGGCAAATATTGATCCAGGTGTGCAAAGCTTAGAGACTTACCCAAAAAAGGCTCAGCTGTAATCACTGCCAAAGGTGTTTCTGTATTGACATATCTATTCAATATGTATATACACTACCGTTCAAACGTTTTAGAACACCTACTCATTCAAGGGTTTTTCTTTATTTTTACTATTTTCTACATTGTAGAATAATAGTGAAGACATCAAAACTATGAAATAACACATGGAATCATGTAGTAACCCAAAAAGTGTTAAACCAATCAAAATATATTTTATATTTGAGATTCTTCCAATAGCCACCCTTTGCCTTGATGACAGCTTTGCACACTTGGCATTGAATACTTATGATAGGCACTGTATGTAGCCAACAGAAAATGTAGCCAATAAGGTAAAACTGAAAATAATATTTCAAATGCTCTTTTCATCAGTGTACATCACCTACTGTAATTGGGCCTGAGTAGAACATATCAATGTAAATTAGGGACATTGGCTCACTATGGCATATCAGAGAGAGAGGGAGGAGACTGCTATTGGAGGAAAGTGTCCTATATTATCAAGATGAAGGAGGGAGGCAGGGAGTGAGGTGAGTGAGTGGGTGTTCACATACCACATGGAGTGTGAAGGGAGGGGGGAGGAAGCCAGACACACTGAGCCCTCTCTCTGCTATATTCTGGAGGAGTGAAGTAAGGGACACAGATGGGAAATGAAATGACTGGATCATTGAAAGCCTGAAAGCAGGACAACAATAATTACCAATTTAGATTAAATCCTTTTATATTACACACTTAGCTGACACCTTTCCCAGTCAGAGGAATAAGGCAACCTCAGAGTTAAAGCACAGACAAAGGGGAGCTTAATTGCTATAAGACGATGCATCAGACATTGAATTGATATGGTCCAGGTTCTGTAATACAGGGAATTAATGTAAATGAATAGGCTGTACACAATGAACATAATGAGAATAGATAGACAAACATGTGGTTTGCAAGTTTTGATCCTGAGAATATGAGCAGCAACCAATTGAAATATTTCTATTAGTCTCAGCTCAGAGCAGCTAACTGATCCCATAGTGTTTTGGCTCATCGTTTTTCCTGAAAATCCCTCGATTTAAGATGTTAAGGGAGTCCTTTGAATCAAAAAGTTTACTGCAAACACTGCAACAAGGCACAACATCATTGATAAAGAAAAAATAATGGCCAGATTTATTGCGCATCTTATAAGCCAATTTCATTTATTAATGTGGACGTAAAGTGCAAGTTTGGAAATTGAGATTTCACTAGAATTTCAGGAGAACGTGTATACTCTTCCAAGCTCGACATTAAAGGGATAGATTGCTTAAATCACTGAACTATCCCTTTAATCCAGAGGCTGACCTAGTCTGAGTCACTGACCTGGGCCATGTTGGTGATGAAGAAGGGCAGCCAGGCGCTGAAGAAGAGGCCCAGCAGAACTCCCAGGGTCAGACTGGCCTTCACTGCCCTCCGGCCCTGCCTGTGGGCCAGCCGCCGCTCGCTGTTCACCGACAACTGAGGACAGAGGGACAGACAGGGCAGTCAGAGACAAGGACTGCGTCACAATGTGTCCAAAAACCTAGGTATGTATTTAAATGTACATGGTAGCTACAGGTCCACATTGTTATATGATTCTTAAAACTGTTACACACGTTTGCGGCATGAACATTTTCAAGGATTTTCAAATGAACTCAATGGAATTAAAACAATTCCAGGGTGAGTACAAATCTAATGCGTAGAAAGTTCATTGTGTAGAAACAGCAAACAGGTATAAATAGCTATAAGTACTACAGTGGCTTGCGAAAGTATTCACCCCCCTTGGCATTTTTCCTATTTTGTTGCCTTACAACCTGGAATTAAAATTGTTTTTTGGGGGGGTTTGTATCATTTGATTTACACAACATGCCTACCACTTTGAAGATGCAAAATATTTTTTTTTGTGAAACAAACTAAACTTGAGCATGCATAACTATTCACCCCCCCGCACCCCAAAAGTCAATACTTTGTAGAGCCACCTTTTGCAACAATTACAGCTGCAGGTCTCTTGCGGTATGTCTCCACTGGGATTTTTTCCCATTCTTCAAGGCAAAACTGCTCCAGCTCCTTCAAGTTGGATGGGTTCCGCTGGTGTACAGCAATCTTTAAGTCATACCACCTGCTGGAAGGTGAACCTCCGTCCCAGTCTCAAATCTCTGGAAGACTGAAACAGGTTTTCCTCAAGAATTTCCCTGTATTTAGCGCCATCCATCATTCCTTCAATTCTGACCAGTTTCCCAGTCCCTGCCGATGAAAAGCATCCCCACAGCATGATGCTGCCACCACCATGCTTCACTGTGGGGATGGTGTTCTCGGGGTGATGAGAGGTGTTGGGTTTGCGCCAGACATAGCGTTTTCCTTGATGGCCAAAAAGCTCAATTTTAGTCTCATCTGACCAGAGTACCTTCTTCCATATGTTTGGGGAGTCTCCCACATGCCTTTTGGCGAACACCAAACGTGTTTGCTGATTTTTTTCTTTAAGCAATGGCTTTTTTCTGGCCACTTTTCCGTAAAGCCCAGCTCTGTGGAGTGTACGGCTTAAAGTGGTCCTATGGACAGATACTCCAATCTCAGCTGAGGAGCTTTGCAGCTCCTTCAGGGTTATCTTTGGTATCTTTGTTGCCTCTCTGATTAATGCCCTCCTTGCCTGGTCCGTGAGTTTTGGTGGGCGGCCCTCTCTTGGCAGGTTTGTTGTGGTGCCATATTCTTTTCATTTGTTAATAATAGATTTAATGGTGCTCCGTGGGATGTTCAAAGTTTCTGATATTTTTTTATAACCCAACCCTGATCTGTACTTTTCCACAACTTTGTCCCTGACCTGTTTGGAGAGCTCCTTGGTCTTTATGGTGCCGCTTGCTTGGTTGTGCCCCTTGCTTAGTGGCGTTGCAGACTCTGGGGCCTTTCAGAACAGGTGTATATATACTGAGATCATGTGACACTTAGATTGCACACAGTTGGACTTTATTTAACTAATTATGTGACTTCTGAAGGTAATTGGTTGCACCAGATCTTTTTTAGGGGCTTCATAGCAAAGGGGGTGAATACATATGCACGCACCACTTTTCCGTTATTAATATTTGTTTATTTCACTAAATCAATTTGGACTATTTTGTGTATGTCCATTACATGAAATCCAAATAAAAATCAATTTAAATTACAGGTTGTAATGCAACAAAATAGGAAAAACGCCAAAGGGCATGAATACTTTTGCAAGGAACTGTATGTAACAATGTGCACTTACACTGTCCTTAAGAGCTACCATGTAAATACTTAGGTTTTATAACTGTAGTGGCAACATAAAATAAACTATAGCTTCCACCACATTGCTTTCAAGAGAAGAAGACACACTTTAGATGCATCCTTGGCCTGATATTGTCGAAGAGTCTCTGAAAAAAGTTAACGCTTGCATTTCACAAGATGTAATCATCACATTGAAAGAGATGTGACATGTTGCTGAATACATTGAAAAGTCTCTGCGTGGAACAACATTGCTAAGAATTACTGTCCTCGGCACTCAATCTCAGGAGTGTAGACGCAGGCCCTTGACTACATAAATACAATGCAAGGTCTGTGCCATTTATTCTAACTACCACTTCTCCTTCAACAGGCGCCATTGTCCCTCCCTCTGTCTCTTTCAGATGTTTTTTAATCATGTTTCATTTCTGAATTTCAAGCTCTTTCCCATCTTTCAACTTAAATGGTCTTTCACTTATTTCACTATTCAGTTTAATTTATTTTAGTGGATGAAAGACAATTTTGTATTCAGTGTGTCAATTCCTCAGCTGCCCACCTCACTTTAATAGAGTGGAGATCAACGAGTGCAGTGGCAAGGACAACTCTCACACACATAAACACTCGCTTACCTACAGTGCTTTCAGAAAGTATTCATACCCCTGAATGCCTGAATTCAAAATGGATTAAATATGTATTTTTTTCTCACCCATGTACACACAATACCCCATAATGACAAAGTAAAAACATGTTTTTTAGAAATCTTTGCAAATGTATTTGAAAAAGAAATACAGAAATCTAATTTACGTATGTATTCACACCCCTTTGCTATGACACTTCAAACTGTGCTCAGGTGCATCCAATTTGCTTTCATCATCCTTGAGATGTCAGTACAACTTGATTGGAGTCCACCTGTGGCCAATTGTTAGGACATGATTTAGAAAGAAACACACCTGTCTATATATGGTCCCACAGTTGACAGTGTATGTCAGAGCAGAAACTATACCATGAAGTCCAAGGAACTGTCCGTAGATCTCTGACATAGAATTGTGATGAGGCATATATCTGGGGAAGGGTATAAAACAATTTCTAGAGTGTTGAACGTTTCTAAGAACACAGTGTTCTCCATCATTGGGAAATTGAAAAAATATGGAACTACGCAGACTATCCAGAACCTGCCAGAAGGACAACAATCTCTAAACACTTCACCAATCTGGCCTTTATGGGAGAGTGGCCAGACGGAAGCCACTCCTGAGAAAAAGGCACATGACAGCACGCCTGGAGTTTGCAAAAAGGCACGTGAAAGACTCAGAGCCTAAGGCAAAAGATTCTATGGTATGATGAGACAAAAATGTTACGTTTTGGCCTGAATGCAAAGCAGTATGTCTGGAGAAAACCAGGCACAGCTCATCACCCGTCTAACACCATTCATACAGTGAAGCATGGTGGTGGCAGCATCATGCTATGCGGATGCTTTTCAGCAGCAGGGACTGGGACACTGGTAAGGATAGAGAGGAAAATGAATGGAGCCAAATAAAGGAAAATCCTTGATGAGAACCTGCTTCAGAGTGCAAACTACCTTAGACTGGGGGCGAAGATTTACATTCCAACAGGACAATGACCCCAAGCTTACAGCCAAGGCAATGCTGGAATGGCTTCTGAACAAGAATGTGAAAGTCCTTGAGTGGCCCAGCCAAAGCCCAGAATTGAATCCCATTGAAAATATGTGGAAAGACTTGAAGATTGCGGCAAAGGAAGAATGGTAGAACATCCCCAAATCCAGATGTGCAAAGCTGATAGACATTCCCAAGACAACTCAAAGCTGTCTTCTACAAAGTAATGACTCAGGGGTGTGAATAGATACAGTGCTGCTTGAAAGTATGTGAACCCTACAGGGCTGGTCATTATTTTGCTATAAAATATTAAAATGAACATAAAATCCTTATCTAAACCCCAATTCGTAATAAAGACATTCCAAGTAAATGACAAATAAAATGATTTGATATTTTTATTTTTTATTTAACAAAAGTGGTTTATTTAACAGAAACTCAGATTTGATGTGTGCAAAAATGTGAACCCCTTCAGTCAATGGCTTGTGGCACCTCCATTAGCAGCAATAACTTGGACTAAATGTCTCCTATAGCCAGTAATCAGTCTCTGACATCTGTTTTGAGGGATTTTTGCCCACTCCTCCTTACAGAACACAGCCAATTGAGTGAGGTTTGAGGGGTGTCTGGCATGAACTGCCTGCTTCAGGTCCTGCCACAGCATCTCGATTGGATTTAGGTCAGGACTTTGACTTGGCCAATCCAAAACACAAATATTCTTTCTCCTAAGCCATTCTTTGGTAGATTTGCTTGAATGCTTTGGGTCGTCTTGTTGGAAGACCCATTTTCGGCCTAGCTTTAGCTCCTTGACTGATTGCCTGACGTTCTGTTCAAGAATCTCCTGGTATACCTCAGAATTCATGGTTCCCTTAATGATGTGGACTCGTCCAGGTCCAGAGGAGGAAAAGCAGCCCCAGATCTTGACATTCCCACCACCATGCTTGACTGTTGGGATAAGGTTATTTTGGTGGTAGGCAGTGTTGGGCCAAACATAGCGGTGTTGATTGTGACCAAAAAGGTCAATTTTGGACTCATAGGTCCAGAGAATGGACTTCCAGAAACCTTTAGGTTTGTCCAGATGGTCTCTGGCAAAGTTAAGACGGCCAGTTTGGTTATTTTTTGACAGCAGAGGCTTTTTCCTAGCAACCCTCCCATGAATGGCATTTTGATTCAGTGTTCTTATTGTTGAAGCATGCACAGTCACCTGAGATGCAGCAAGGAGGTCTGCAAATCTCTAGATGTTATGTTTGGGTTGGCTTTTATCTGAATTATTATTGTTCTTGGGGATATTTTTGAAGGGCGTCCACTTCAAGCCGAGTTGCTGTCATGTTAAATGCTCTCCATTTGTAAATGATTTACCTCACAGTGGACTGATGGAGCTCAAATCTTTTTGAGATTATTTTATAGCCTTCCCCAGACTGACATGCTCTCACAATCCTCGTCCTGATGTCCTCTGAGATCTCCTTTCCTCTCGGCATGTTGTGCTTTGCATTCACCTGGATGGGTAACACCAAACTGACCAGGTTTCTTATCTCTATTTATCAGAGTCCCGCCCAAACTCTTTCCTAACGATGTCTCCTTTGATTGGATCATTTGGTAGCTAATTATTTACCCACCTGATTCTACTTACCTACTTGATTTAACCAATGCAATTTGGGGTTCACTTATTTTTGCACCTGCACTAATTCCTTTTTAATTTTGTTTTTCTACTACACACATTATTTCCTCTACACCAACATATGGTATTGGTAAATATAAACCTGTTATGTCAGATCAAAAAGACTGGTTCTGATTAAATGAAGATTTCAAGGTAAAAACTGAAAAAAATCGGTAATTGCACAAGGGGTTCACATACTTTCAAGCAGCACTGTATGTATTTCATTTTCAAAAATTATAAAACATTTCTTCATTTAGTCATTATGGGGTATTGTGTGTAGATGGGAGAAAGAAAACATGTAATCAATTTTGAATTCAGGCTGTAACACAATAAAATGTGGAATAAGTCAAAGGGTATGCATACTTTCTGAAGGCACTGTAACCCACCCACTCCACCTTTAAAGAGCGACTTCCTTTAAAAAGCAACGAATCCCTTTGAAAACGGCCTATATGAGTCAAACAGTTATTCTAGTGTCAAAATTGACTACAAGTGTAAATAGGATCATTTTGGTCATAAATTAAGTAGTTTAAAACGAAGTCTGGAACATCCGTGCATTACAACGGGTAAATGAAGGTTAGGTTTTGATTTGACGATGTCCATTTGCCCACTAACATGGGGTGAACAGCTGCGGTGATTGCTCTCTATCCACTAGCATATACAGTGAGACAGACCTGCCCCAGCAGCTCCGACTTTGTTTGCATAAGACAACACGTAGCACATTTTTTCACTTCAGAAATACTGCACCAAACACCTTAGATGTAAAATTGCGCAACTAAAACATCCTCTGCAAAAACGTCAAGATTTATTACAGATTTCTTGAGTTATTTTATATGAATTCTGGGGATTTTGAGGAAGTTAAATACGCTTCCACGTCTACAGTGTCCCATGGGGGACAAACATCATAACCAAATGCGGAATGGTCAGGAAACACTTGAAAAACGGAGATCTAGTTTTTCAAATGAGCAACAGAAAAACACACGTGCCAATAGGCGTGTTCAGTCGCTCTTTAATCTCACCTTCTTGATTAATCTCCCAAATCAATGGCCTTGTCCTAATTATCTTAGCTAGATCACCACATTTCTTTTCCTTCATGACAAGTGGGTCATTCCACCAATTTGGTACCTTTTAAGCAGTGTAACTTTGAAACCCCCCCATTTAATTTCACCTCATTTTAACATTCTATCATAAAGAGCACATGTTCAACTTCATTAAAAACATGTTTTCCCATCTCAAGTGGTTCAATCAAAATGTTTACTATAGTAAGTGCCTATTAAGTGCCAAATAAAGTAACAGGGTTGATCGAAAGAGTTGACGACTTCATCTTAAATCAACCATAAATCCCCTTGTTGTGTGAAGCAGGGAGTGGCATTTAATTTTATTTATTTATTGTTAAAACATTTCTAGCTTCTCTATCTATGGGTAACAGGGTTGACGCTTTATGCTCGACCAGGTCAGTTTTCCACCAGAAAACACCAGAAAATGGCCCAAAATTGTAGAATTAGCTCACACTATGATTTGACTATTATTTTATTTTTTAAAGCAATAGTTTCACCTTATTAAAATGAGAGTTCAGTTAACGTAACAGGGTTGACCTTAAAATGAGGCACAGACTTAAATGAATCACTAATCACATGAATAAATAATAATCTTCAGGAACGACTTTGTCAAAGCAACAAAATAACTATGGCTTTACAATGATGGTGAAAACTTGGGAGACATTTTGGGGTTAAGTGGGTTAAAATCTTCCAGAAGTCATAGAGAGTGCATGGAGGGACGTCAAAATGTAGAATATTAAAAATATCAGATTAATTGAATTCTCAATGTGGTCTACATTGAAAGAGCACTTCATTTAATATACAGGCTTTTTTACAATTCAATATTGGTGCACAATTGCTATTAAAATATCAAAGGGACGCAAAATGCACTCTTTTCGTGGAACGACCCAACTAATCTGAGAGGCAGAGAAGGCATCATGGTGGAAACCTATCCAGGCACACAGTGATCATGCAGTGACAGTTTACACAGCATTGGGATGTAGTCTCAATGTATCTCCCTTAATTTCCTCTACAACTCCCCTCTCCCTCTCACCGGTACATGACGTGACATAGAGCGCTCCTGATGACTGTAGTCTTCTCTGTCATGCTGAGCATGTCCCATGGCGCCCCCACCTGGTGAGGGAGGCTGAGAAGGGCCCCTGGGCAAATGTTGCGGGTGCGGAGGGTGAGTTAGCGCCGCCACCCGCCTCGCCTGTCTCCTTGCCACCAGGAGAATTCGACAGTAGGTGAAGCAGATGGCGCTGGATGGCAGGAAGAAGGTTAGAACGGACGCCACCAGGGCGAAGGGCAGGGTGACCCGGAGACGACACTGGAAGGACAGGCCATCGGAGGGCGACAGCTGGAAGTAGGAGGCGGGGTACTGCAAACTTAGCTCTGGGTATGTGCTGATGTTGGCACTGCCAGCCCCATGCATTGGGGAATGCCCACTCCGGTGACCCAAGCTGTGCCAGTTCATCTTGATGGGCAAGAAGGAGGCGAGGGCGGCCAGACCCCAGGTCCCTCCCACCAGAAGCAGGGCCCGGGGAAGGGTCATCCTCTGCTTGTAGCGCAGCGGCGAGATGATGAGGAGGTAGCGGTCCAGGCTGATCACACATAGGTTGAGAATGGAGGCACTGCAGCACATGACATCGAAGCAGAGCCACACAGGGCAAAAGCCTGGTGACAACACCCAGGCCCCGCACAGCACGTTGAGCATGGCTGGCGGCATCACCACCAGCGCCACCATCAGGTCCGACAGGAAGAGAGACACTAGGAAACAGTTGGAGGTGTTGCGTAAGGAGCGTTGGGCAAACACCAGAGCGATCAGCAGTGTGTTGCCACAAGCCGTCATCAGGATGATGAGGGTTAACAAGCACGCCAACAGCCACGGACCGCTGCCACTGATGCCCCAGGCACTGCTCGTGGACAAGCTGCCATTGGAGCTCCCTAAAGGGTTAACAGCATCCACACCTGCTGCCTCTAAGCCAGTTAAGGCAGAGTCACCCATAGCGGTGGTTGACATTGGTCAATGTGAGAGCTTCCCTGTTCCTCTCCCAGTCTGTGAAGACGAAAAGTTGCTGTGAAGCACAAAATGTATGTGACTTCTGGTGCTTGTTAGTGCTGCTGAAGCTTTCCTGACACTTGAGGAGAATAAAGTGAAGCCACTGAGGTCCTGTTTTGATCATCCATTCACCACTTCTTCCCAAGGTTAACAGAGAGGCCCGTGAGTCATTTCTCTCTCCTAAGTGTGAAAATCTCCTGTTGACACTGCGATCAGAAGTGAAGACACCGTTTCCATCTCTCCATCGTGTCAAATAGTCCTGCTTCTTCTCAGCGTTGGAGCCAGTGTGAGCAATTCAGAGGCTGTCAGTGCGTCACGATGACACTCGCTTGGGGAGGGGAAATTGAGAGGTGGGCTACAACATGGGAGCACAAATGCAGAGACGAAATGCGAGAAGAGGGAAAAATAAATTATCCAAGATATTCTTTACTACACACACAAGGTTAATGGTATTGCATTGTGTGTGTGTGTGTGTGTGTGTGTGTGTGTGTGTGTGAGAGAGAGAGAGAGTGAGTGAGTGAGCGGTGTGAAGTCTATTTGCTGCTCCCTGTGATGTGTGAATCTCAAGCCTTTTTCTTGAATAGAATAAACACCACTGTGAGGCTGTCATTTGTAAGCAAGGCTCTGGCCACAAGTGCACTACAGGTATCATGGTTGCTGTGGGGTTACCTCTGGCTCCCCGCTCCTGATAATCCCCATGCCGGCCACTCCAACGCGCCTCCCAGCCAGAGCGTTCTGCTCCCGGGGAAGGAGCGTGTCTAAGCATTGAGCTGCTAATACATGCTGGTGCAAATTCACAGATAGGTGATGCAAATTCTGTATCACAGCAAATCAAATCAAATCACATTTTATTTGTCACATGCGACGAATACAACAGGTGTAGACCTTACAGTGAAATACTTAATTACAAGCCCTTAACCAACAATGCAGTTTTATGAAAGAATACCAACAAAAAAAAAATCACACAAAAAAATACAATAGAAAATAATACGAAATAAAAGTAACAAATAATTAAAGAGCAGCAGTAAAACTAACAATAGCGATGCTATATACAGGGGGTACCGGTACCTAGTCAATGTGCGGGGGCACCGGTTAGTCGATGTTATTGAGGTAATATGTACATGTAGGTAGAGTTATTAAAGTGACTTTGCATAGATAATAGACAGAGAGTAGCAGCAGCGTAAAAGAGGGGGGCAAAGCAAATAGTCTGGGTAGCCATTTGATTAGATGTTCAGGAGTCTTATGGCTTGGGGATAGAAGCTGTTTAGAAGCCTCTTGGACCTAGACTTGGCGCTCCGGTACCGCTTGCCGTGCGGTAGCAGAGAGAACAGTCTATAACTAGGGTGGCTGGAGGCAGTGTGGGCTTTATACACTGTACAATTTCATTTAATAACCAGTGCTTGATGTGACATTCTGCATTATCTCTGTGAAAAAAAGTTGGCTTGAGGCAGTGTGGGCTTTATACACTGTACATCTGTTGTACAATTTCATTTAATAGCCAGTGCTTGTTGTGACATTCTAAATTATCTCTGTGAAAAAAGTTGGAAATGTATTGACTCATATTTTCCTTGTAGCGCGTGAAAACAGTTTATGGTATATATAATTGTTAAATTGTGTTCTATTCAATTCTGTGGGTATATGTGGTTTATCATATTTATTTCACTTACTTATTGAATAATAGCATAAAGCTGCATTTTCCACAGAACTACTAATAGCTTTTTGTCCTTCAATGTTAACATCTTAACAATAGACTAAGTAAAAGTCAAGGATGTCAAGAACGTTGTGTTTCAGACAATTATGCAGATTCTCAGACACCGTTTATAATGGATTCTAAGACAAGGTAAATTAGTCGGCTTAGTCGGAGGGCACTTGAATGCTAATGAGTACAAAATGTGCTTCCATGGAAGTGTTTGTATCCGCACAAATTAATGCCGGTTTTGCATTGTTGATGTATCTTCTATTTCACTCTATGATATAACACACAACACATCTAATCAGCTGTTTTAAAGGTAGATTCAGCTATATGACGTAGATGCACAAAGTAAACAGCATAATGGGTCAATTTCCGCAACAATAAGAGCGTTGAAGCGCAAGGCTAAACTTCTCCGCTGTTATGGTCCCGTACCTACCATGTTGTAAGTGTGAAGCGAACCCCTGCACATACGCAGATACTGTGTGTGACTGTGTGAGAGCGAAGTCTTGCATCTCGCTATCGCAATATCTGCGGTGCTGCTCGTGGCAACGTAATTTTGTCTACCTTCAAAAACCTACATTTTCCTTATTTTACAATTATTTTATTGAATAAACACACACTGTCCTGTTCAGGCACGTAAAAATTATATGAATATGTATGGAAGGGTCGACCCACAGAAATAAATTAGTCTGGCTGGAGGTCAGTGCAAATGATGGGCATCCAAAAAAATACAGTTTGTCGCTGACGTGTGGCTACTGCTCCTGTGAAGATAAAATGGAGTCAGTTTTCATTTGGATTTACATCTCTGTACATTATGCAAGAACATTAATGCATGATATGATGTTGAATGTTGATCCAATATACTATGCATTTGTACCACATCCTCAATACGAAATGTGCAAGGATTCTTATACTGACCTTAATGTTTCTCTGAAGTAGATATGGTGCTCTCAGATCATTCCGACAGTTTGTGTATGCCATGCCAAGCACTGTTCCTAAGCCAAATGCAATTGGCCAGGTGTGTCCTGTGGACAGAAAAATATGTCCAAGGTATTTTCTCATGTATAGACATTTACTCACAGGTACCGTGCTGACCCAAACCATACTGTGCGCTGATATTTTCTTTTCACATCAGGGCTCGACATACAGGGCTGCCCGGTGGCCCGCGGAGGTTTTATAAACCCTCCGTGCCAGTCAACCATCCATGTCAGTGGCCTGCTTGGGCCAGTGAATTTTTTTTAAAAATTAATGCTATACAGATTAATTCCCGATGCGGTTATTTGTTTTTTAATGTAGATTATTTATCACGTGCGACTTTGGGCAGCAGGAGTGCGCATCTCAAACAACTGGTTGTCTCGTGGAGCAGCTTACAGAGCGGAGGTGAGATTGACTTCATCACTACTTGTTTTTGTAAGAAGTGTTGACATGCTGATATTACGTCTTTTATACAGGGTTTGTTAATGTTTGATATTGTGAGCTGCATAGGATTTTGAGGATGAGGACATTCCATGTATTTATTTCTGTCACTGGTGCGTGCCAGAAGGTATGCGTGCCAAGATAGCTGGGGGGCCACTGGTGCTAATCTTAGAAGGAGTACGTGATGGAATATCCTGACTAGGGTGCAACACGATACCATATAGGGTGATACTATTGTGGTGAGGAGTGACACTCAATAATGGTTGACAACTGTTGGATAGAATTAGCTTGTAAAGCAGTATATAAACTGAGATATTTTGTATGCCTTTCATTCAGATAACGAGGGGCAACTCACGTGCCGTTCGTTAAGCTGAATCCAGTACCGTAATATTAAATACTTTGCATCAGCTCTCCATATAAGTGTTTAAGTATCTTCTTGCATACTGAATTACTTGATGCCAGATAAACTCATCATAACACATGCTGAATACACCGAGGTGTCTGTTTAAACTACTAGCACACAGCTCGGACACCAATGCATACCCAACAAGCCATGCCACCAAAGGTCTCTCCACAATCCCCAAGTCAAGAACAGACTATGGGAGGCGCACAGTACTACATAGAGCCATGGCTACACGGAACTCTATTCCACATCAGGTTAATAATAATAATATGCCATTTAGCAGACGCTTTTATCCAAAGCGACTTACAGTCATGTGTGCATACATTTTTACGTATGGGTGGTCCCGGGGATCGAACCCACTACCCTGGCGTTATAAGCGCCATGCTCTACCAATTGAGCTACAGAGGACAAGCAGTAGAATCATATTTTTTAAAACAGATAAAAATACACCTTATGGAACAGCGGGGACTGACGAGACACACACACAGGCACATTGCATATTATCACAAACAAAGTACTAGGGTAGTGAATGTTTAGCTGTCAGCTAGCAAGGAAAGTTGGAAGCTACCGGTATCTTCTTGCATTAAGTGTTCTAGCCTGTATGGACATTGTTTTGCGAACAGTAATGAACAGTTTCAAAATTTCTACATGGCGTGTCGAATTATTCAAGTGTGTTAACTTCTGTGCAGTATTGAAAAAGGTTTGGTATACTGTGCAACACTAGTACACTACAGTAGACTACAGAAACACAGCTAGCCAAATAACGGTCTCTTGCTAGGTGCACAATTTAATTAAAGGACCCCTCCCAATTAAAATATGTATTTTTCCCAGACCTCAAAAATGGTCTCCTGGTGTGGTTTAAAGGGTCCCGAACAGCCATTCTGATTCCCATGTAAAATAGCCTTTTGAGTGACTAAAACATTACCCATAATATGTTTTCCAGATAAAAATGCTAAAAATGTGAGAAAATTTACTTTTTCTCTCATGTTAAACTAACAGGAAGTCTGTAAAGACAAACTGAGTGGGCAGGGAGCAGTAGGCAGAGTGGGCGGGGAGCTCAACTTGACTGGCGGTTCTTTGAAGACGCCCATGTCAAGCAAAACCATGCTGGCAGCCGACCTAACTAGCCAGTTACTAGCTAACAACAGATACAGATGAAAGCGGAAACCTATAAGTATCTTTGCCTTAGATCAGTGGTCACCAACGATCTCCAAGGCATTCCTAGTCGATCACCAAACATTTCTGTAAAAAACCCAACGATAAAGCCTTGCATTCCTATTTTTTGTATTAGTTTCGCGCTGTTGGCGGTAGGTACACTTGATTCAGAAGCCCTAATGCCGGGAAGGCAGTGTTCCCATTTTGAACCATTTCTTGTGTCTGAAGGTAGAACTCCGCCTACCCAGCAGGCCCAGAGAGCAAATCAAGTGCACCTATGGCCTACTGCTGGCC